GGCCTCCGAAGAGAGCCCCAAGAGGCCAAAATCGTTGATTTTCATTGGTTTTTTCTATGTTTTTTGTGTTCTGGCTTTTTCGGCTTCCGGACGCTCCAAGACGGCCCAAGAGGCCCCCAAGACCGCTCCAAGACGGTCCCAAGACGGCGCCGAAACGACCCAAGAGAGCCCTCAAGACGGCCCAAGTGCCGCCCAAGACGGACCAAGAGGCCCCAAGACGGGCCCAAGAGGGACTCAGGAGGGATACCGAGAACTCAAAAATGGAGCCCTCCGTCCCAGAAGGCGCCCAGGAGGTCCCAAAGAGGCCCCAAGTGGCCTCCAAGAGGCCCCAAGATGTCGCCAAGAGGCCCCAGGAGACTCCCAGGAGGCCCAAAAGAAGCCCCAGAAGGCTTCAAACATGTCTCCCAGGCGCCCCCGAACGGCCTCTCAACAGACCCCAAGAGGCCCCCCAAAGAAGCATCTTGACGACGACTCTATTTCGCCCCATCGAGAGACGACCCCCAGGGAACTGCTTCACCATCAAAACTCCCCACGCAACGCGTCCGAACGACACCCGCCCCCAAGAGCGCAACATGGGCAACGAACACACAGACAAAAACCAGCGATGCCATATCACGGGCCGGCGGAATGAGCGAAGCGATTCAATAACCGCCAGAATGGTGTTTGATCTTCTGCGCTGTGGAATTCCAACAATCCGCCTCCACATCGGGGTTCCTCCGTAATCCATCTGCCGCTGATAGCGGCCTCCGAAGTGGAGTTTAGAACATTGGGTCGGAGTATCGCGCCGCATCGCATCGCCGATGCATCGGAAACGTCGGCGATGCATCAGCAACATCGGCGGGGAAGAAATCGAGCTTCTAATCGAGCCGCATCGCCAACGCATCAGCGATGCGGCCCGATCCTCCGACCCCATCGGCTCGGACCCCATTTGGGAGGCCAGGGTAAACCAAAAGATCCCGATACCAATGCTGCCTGGACAACTCCCGAAGTAAGTGCTGACCTGTACTCTGAAGCGAACCTATACGTGGCGACGAGACACGGGTAGCGGTACCGGCCTCGGTTTCCCCCTCTGACTGAAAGCCCAAATGCCAAGTGGCTTCGGACATTGGGTACTGGTGGAAGAAACTGTATCTTCCTCCGTTTCGGGGTTCCTTCGTAATTCATCTGCCTCTGATTGGGGGGTCCGCAGCGGTGCGGTGACAAACCGTGCGGTGACCTTGGAATCCGCGAACACCTCACCGCACGGTCCGTCACCGCACCGTCTTGGGATCTTGGAGACCACAGCCGTCCTCGGAAGACGGCCCAAGCCCCAACACCGTGCGGTCACCGCAAATCCCAACTTGCCCACCACCAATCCTCTGTCGAACGCTTGGCATTCGACCCATACGGCTCTGAACTCCTGCATGGCGAGTCGAGGCGGCGGCCCCAGCGACACGCTGTGCATGACAGGTGGATGGCGCGTCCTTCCGCTCCGCGGGGCAGGAGGCTGGGAAAGGCTCGGGACGTTAACGCTGGGGGGCAAGAAACTGGATACACGTCGTTCATGTCTAATCGTGCTCATTTCTAATTGTGCTCGTTTCTATAAGAACAATTAGAAATGAAAGGATCTAGCCCCCCAAAAAGATCAAAGAACTTTCTAATACGTAGAAATGAGCAATGTGTAGCTTGTCGAGACGAAGCTTGATGGGCGAGAACCGCCGGATCGACACGCTCCGCCAAGGTTCCCGACCGCATCTCGGATCTCCGGCGGGAGCTCGGGGCGATCTGGGCACCCCCAGCACACACTTGGCGAGGCGCAGCTTCCGGAGCGCATCCCGAGGCAGGAAAGCCCCCACAGAAACCGACAAAGCCGCCCGAACACCCAGACTCCCCGCTGACTCACCGCACAACGCGTGGCACGAAGAGAGCGGGTCCCAAGGGAAACAGGCCCTGAGGGAAAGCCCCGCATCCCCATGGGCAGCGGCATGCGAACCCTACCCCCGCCGACCATCGCTTCTCCTGAACAGAGGGTGCAAGGCTCGAAGTTCGCCACGCGTTCGGCGAATTCCAAACCCCACCCTTCAGTCGGGCATGTCCCCCTACAGGCGGAGTTTGGGCGGACAACGAAAAAAACAAAGCATGCAAAACATTGTCAAAACTGACAGAACAATCGTCCCCAGATTATGTTTTGATTATTCTTGAATGCCCCTCCTGTAGAGGGACACGGCCGACTTACGCATACCCCCGCCGCCTATCGAGTTGGCTGAATTTTGGATCGGCGAAGGCAAAGTTCGGATTCCGCCGCCGATCCCCACTGGCTCACCACACACGCGGTGTGGTCACCGCGATGTTTTCGTGGGGAAACCAACGCCAAGAAGGCACCGATACCGCTGCTCCCCACTCGGGGGCGGCCAAGGGGGGGCCGTCCAAGAGGGGGGGGGGGCGCAGATCATGGCTGGCGGCACGTGCGCGGCCCGGGGGGAGGGCCAGGGGCGCCATGAAATGAAGAAGCGGCGCCACGAAATCTGGGGAGATATCAGGGCCCTGGCCATGACATCCGCCCCAGACCCCCGACGTCATGATTTGTTCATGACGTCGACCCCCAGAGGTTTCGACCCCTTCCCTGGGACCGGGCTTTTCATCCCGAGTCGTTTCTTGACGGTCCCGAGGCTCCGCAAGGGCCCTCAGAGGCCGAAAATGACGAAAAACCTCCCGTCGTGATTTTTTCACTACTCGAGAGGGGGTCTGGGCCCCCCCCCCTAGTCGTCATCCCCCTCTTGACCATCCCCGGCCCCTACCTCGCCCGGGGCGCGTCCTGACCAGGACTTCCAGGGGCGAGCCCCGCGGCGGCGACTTTCGGGCCCCCCAGAGGGGGCCCAGGAAGGCCAGCACAGGGCGAGGGCAGCGGTACGGGCGCAGCTCTTCCCCCTCTGAACCCAGACCCCCCGACGCCATGATTTTTTCAGGACGTCGACCCCCTGAGGTTTCCACCTACTCCCTGGGACCAGCTTTTCAACCCGAGTCGTTTCTTGACGGCCCCGAGGCCCAGGAATGGGCCCCCAGAGGCCGAACATGGAGACACACCGTCCGTCGCGTTATTGTTCATTGCTCGAGGGGGCCTGGGGACTTCGCCCCCCCCCCCCCCCCATCTGAGGCAGGACCGCGTCGGGGGGGCAGCCAGGCGCCAGCTGCGGAACGCCGAAGCCCGCCAGCCAGGCGGCGGGCAGCGCGCGCCCGTGCGGCGCGGCCGCGCGGACCTCGTCGCCGTCGTCGTCCGCTGCCGCGGGCACCGCCGCCGCCGCCGCCATGGGGGAGGAGGGACCCGCGTGGCCAACGCCCTCGGGAGGAGCAGGAGCAGAAGGAGGGGAGGAGGACGAGGAGGAGGAGGAGGAGGAGGAGGAGGAGGAGGAGGAGGAGGAGGAGAAGGAGGGGGAGGAGGAGGAGGAGGAGGAGGAGGAGGAGGAGGCCCAGGGCCTCGTCGGCCGCCCACACGCAGGAGGCGCCCCCATGGGCAGGAGTGGCCTTTGGTGCGCGGTTTCCGGGGGCCGCGGGGGGTCAGATGCAAGGGCGCGCTGGGGGGCCGGTGCTGCCGGGACCCCCCGTGGGCCCGTACACGGACACTGTGTTCGAACCCTGTAACCCAAGATGCCCCCCCAAACCCCCCGAAATTGATACTGATGGCGTGGCGACGGGGGAAGCGTGAGTGGACAGAAATGTTCGAACCCCAAGACACCGCCTTTACTGTGATCAACATTGATGACGGGGGCGCGGGGGTGATTTAGAATCTCTCTCGAATGGATGTGTAAGAGTTCGAATATATTGTCCATCTACTGGCTCGCACCAGAAGGTACTCTGGCGAAGGGCTACCCAAAGCCGCAGAAGGTCTCGACTGCCCCGCCCCGCCCAAGAAGGGTGATTTTTTTCGGGAGCCTGGTTGGAGGTTGTCGACACCCAGTAGTTAACGGCAAGTAACTATTCCTCCGCTGGCGACGCCGCCAGCGGCGTCGTCGTCGTCGTCGTCGCCGCCGTCGTCGTCGTCGTCGTCGTCGTCGTCGTCGTCGTTGTCGTAGTCGTCCTCCGACTACGACGAGACGACTCAAGGAAACTACGACGACACTCGCCACAAATACGACGTCTACCAGTGCTACATCTACTGAGCGCGAGCGGAGGACGAGAATAGAAGGGGAGGAGGGGAAGGAGGAGGAGGAGGAGAACGAGGAGGAGAAGGAGGAGCAGGTCGAGGAGGCGGCGGAAAAGGAGGAGGAGGAGTAGAAGGAGGAGGAGGACAAGGACAAGGGCCAATTAGGACGGGGCGAACCAGAGGACAGGCAGAGTTTTTTTCTGCCAGCCAGGAGCTCTGGGGGGAGAGGGGGGGGGCCGGCAAGACGCGAGACCTCCCGAAACTGCGTGCAGCCGCTGTGGCTCCATGAGCCCCGGCCTTTGGTGCACCCGACTGCAGCCGTGCGCACACGGCAAAAGCCGACGCGGGCTCCCGCCTCGCTGCGCCGACGCGGGCGCCGCGGCCGCCCGCGCGGCAGCCGCGGCGCAGGCCGAGGGAGAGGCTGGCCCACGTCCGGTCGCTGCTGTGCGAGGGGCGCGCCTCCGGGAGTCCGGGAGTCCGCGGGGCCCTGTGACGCTCTCCGCCTCGGGGGGCGCGATCGCCGGGCCCCGAGGCCGCCAAGGGAACGGCTCGGGCCGGGGCCTCTGGGGGACCCCTGCCTGAGTGCAGGCCACAAGGCATCGCTAGATTGGGGGGGGGGGGGGGGGAGGATGGAGGAGAGGAGGGGAGAGGAGGAGGAGGAGGAGGTCGGATGGAGGAGGAGGAGGAGGAGGAGGAGGAGGAGGAGAGGAGGAGGAGAGGGGAGGGAGGAGGGGAGGGGAGGGGAGGGAGGGAGGGAGGAGGGAAGGGAGGGGGGGGGAGGGAGGGACAAGGCTGAAGACGAGGATCTGCGGGATCTGCTGAGCGCGCTGCTCCGAAGAGGCCCAGTGCTGGGCGCGCAGACCTGAAATGCCGAAGAAAATTACATCGCAGAAGCAAGCCGCTCAGAAAAGCTCGCTGTCGTGCTCATCCACTGTTCCTGGCCACGAGCAAAGGATATACTCCAAATCCCTTATGAATCGTCCCCCGGGTCCGGTTTTTCAACTCGCTTTTTTTGTAACTGGGGGGGTCGGTTTATTAGGGCGTTTTCTTTGGATTGGGCTTGGGGGTCCTTTTATTAAGGGCCCGTCGACGAGGGGGGTCCGGATTCAGTTTGCAATTGCACGGAGGGGGTTGGATTGTAGGGGGGGCTTTAATCAGGGATTTGCAGTGCAGTCCCGTGGCCGTGGTCCATCACGACGCGGCGCAGGGCGTTCTCCCACTTCATCCACTCGTGGGCACCAGGGGGCTGCCTGGAAGACGAGGAGGAGTGGGAGGAGGGAGGGGAAGACGGGCATAATGAAAATGAGCAGGAGGCCGAGGAGGACAATGAATGAAGATGAGGGAGAGGAGGAGGAGGAGGAGGAGGAGGAGGAGGAGGAGGAGGGGAGGAGGAGGAGGAGGAGGAGGGGAGGAGGAGGAGGAGGAGGAGGAGGAGGAGGAGGAGGGGGATGAGTGGGGGAGGAGAGGGAGAAAAGGAGGAGAAGAGCGAGAAAGGAGGACCAAGAGGAGGGGGATGATGACGAGTGGGAAGAGAAGCAGGAGGCCGGGCGGCTGGAAGGTGCGCGGCGCTGTGGCGAGAGCACCCCCTCTTGAGAGAAGGAACCGCACTCCCATCCGTAAGGCTGCCGCGAACTCTTGAGACGCCTCGCATGCGCGGCGAAGGAGGCGAACGCCTTCTTGAGCACGACGGTGCCGTCTCGGAACCTGCGCGCGCTTCTAGAATTGTCGGGCCTGTCCCCTATGCAGGGGGAATTTGGGCGACAAATTAAACACACTCCAAACATACGCCCCAATTGCCCTGACAGAATCACAAAATCGTGCCCAGACGCTTGTTTTTCTTACTACATCGCCGTGACGAAAATTTCTGTCAATTTGACTTTTGGAATGACGCGCTCGTGCGGAGTAGTTCGGAGTAATTTTACTAAAACTACTCCGCGCGCAATCGCATCCCGCTCGGTAATTTATATGGTTTGGCGCGGAGTAGTTTCCGATCCCGTTTTGGGGTAACAGAGTTATTAACGTCCCCGGGATCGGAAACTACTCCGCAGAATGACCCAGCATCATGTCATGTGAGGAATCTTGAGAGGGATGGGAGAGATCTTCATCATAGCAAATTGAAGAAACTTTTGTCACGGCTGTGTATTTCTGAATATTCCCCCCCTGTAGAGGGGCAGGCCCGACCTGCTGCTGGAGCGAGCGCGCGCGGCGCCCCCCGGGCAAGGGCAGCCTCTGGACGTGAGGCCCGCCGCCCTCGAACACATGGCACAGCACCGAGGACCAGAGCGTGCACCAAGCGAGGGCCACGTGTTCATTGAGCAAGGACCGACAGTCCCGGCATTCCCATAGTCCTACCACGAAATGTTCTTAGACCCCAAAAATGTTCTAAGGACTAAAACAATGTTCTTAGAACATAAACCCGACGTGAAAAAACAAGACAGTCCCAACCAGAAATGTTCTGACAACATTTCGTGGGAATCACAAAAGGTTCTTAGAACATTGTTTGGTAGGGCTATAGGCGAGCCAGGACTCTTCGCCACTGCTTGAGTTCAGAAAAACGAAGCGCCCTCCACCACCCATCCATGGGTTAAGTCGGGCGCTCTCCCCTACAGGGGGATTCTGGGCGAAGAACAAGACGTATGCAAAACATGCCCCCCAAACTGGGCAACACCAGTCAAACAATCGTCCCCCGACTATGTTTAAACTATTTTTGCACATTCCGCCTGTGGAGTGACACGCCCGACTTCATCCATGGGGCCTGTGCGCTCTGTTGACACGAAGATGTGCGAGGCTCTGGCGCGAGCGCGCCCCTCTGGAACACGTCCCGGCCTCCATCCTGCCAGCGGCTCCTCCGCCGGCGAGGGTGTCGCAGGACGAACGCCCGGCCCGCCCTATCGACACGGCTGGGGGTGCGACAAGGACAAGTTGCTCTGAAACACGGAGGCGGGACGAGGAGAGGGAGGAAGAGGAGGAGCGGAGGGAGTGTGGGAACGAGGAGGAGCAGCAGGACGAGTGGGAGGGAGGAGGAGGAGGAGGAGGAGGAGAAAGGGAGGGAGAAGGAAATAATAAGACACGTAACACTAAGAAGAAGACGCATAAGTAGGAGGAGCAGGGGAAAGGAACGGGTGGACGAGGAGGGATAACTGGATAAGGGGGACAGGGGCAGAGGGGAGGAGGAGGTGGAGGGGGGTGACGAGGACGAAGTCAGGAGGTGGTAGGTCGACTGGTGGGAGGAGGAGGAGGAGAAGGAGGAGGAGGAGGAGGAAAAGGAGGAGGAGTAGGAAAATAAAAAGAGAGGGGACGAGAAGAAGATGCAGGAGGTGGAGGAGCAGCAGAAAGGAGAAGATAGCAGGAGGTGTCCTGAAGCACTGCAGTGCGGGGCGAACGTCCCTCCAACTTAGTTGCGCCCATTCGCAAGAGAGGCAAAGGAGAACAAGGAGATGGTTCCGGATGCGGTTCGGCCAAAACCTCTCACCCCAGGTCAAGTCAATGAGAGCTTGCTGACTGCTGACAGACCAGATCTACACAGGACTCCCTGGCATGGGATCGCCCCCCCCTCCCCCCTCACAAATGCGGCAGTTTGAGGCGACGGGGATTAGGAGGAGCACGAGGAGCAGAAGGAACACGCAGCAGGAGGGGGAACAACAGGAGCGGCATGATTCGGAAAGAGGGGCGTAAGGAGAAGGCGAGCAACGAGCAGCAGCAGGAGTACCAGAGAGGGGAGGGCGGGAAATCTCGTCGTCGTCGTCGTCACGTCATCGACGGCATCTTCGCTCTCGTTGTCATCGTCGTTCACGTCTTCGTGTTCGTCGTCGTCGTCGTCCTCCCCGTCCCGTCGGGGACGTGGGGTAGGAGGAGGAGGAGGAGGAGGAGGAGGAGGAGGAGGAGAAGGAGGAGGAGGCGGAAGAGGAGGGGAGAGCCACGTCGTGCGCGCGTGTCGCGGGAAGGGTGCCGCCCACCCGCCGCGCCGGTGCCGTGCTCTCGACCTGGACCGCGAACAAGATGCCGCCCGCGGGCCGCGCTTTGCTGTCGGGGGCGCGCAAACATGGATTAGCGATCCATGGACCAGCAAACACGACCCTGGGCCAGGCCCGGCGGCCTCAGGCCCGCAACAGACTGCGGCCGCGACACCCTCTCGAGGACCGGAAAACGAGCAACTCGCTCATCGGCCTAGCAGGTTGGGGGCCTTAGTAACCTGCGAACCTCGGGGGCGCGCAGACATGGATTAGCGAGCCATGGATTTGGCCCGCGGTCGCCAAATCCATGGATCGGGGGAGGCGCCCTCCCCCAAAATGCGGCCGCTGGCGCCTCGTTCGGAGGCGGCAATCAGCGATTTCCTATGGAAACGGGACCCGTCGCTAATCCACGGATCGGATCGGAGTGATAATGAGGACGGGGGGGAAGGAGAGGGTGACGATGGGGACGATTAGGACGACGATGAAGACGCAGCGTCGTCGAAGCGAACGAATACGAAGGTGATGGTGATAACGATGGTGACGGTGATAAGGCAGATCCAGTGGTGACGGTGAGGATGAGGCTGGCGATGCTGACGGTGATGACGGTAACGATGATGACGATGATGACACTGATGAAGATGAGGATGTGGATGAAGACATGGGGTGAACACGAGGAAACGCGGGCTGCGCGCTGCCAACGGGGCACGCTCGGGACAATTGGTGCGCTATGGATCGTGCTCCTGCATGCTTCTGAGTGGTCGACAAGAAGGGGGGGGATGAGCACTGGAGGGGCAGGCAGGACGGACCCCATCCCCCGAGGAGGAGGAGGAGGAGGAGGAGGAGGCGGAGGAGAAGGAGGAGCTAGCTTCGTCGTGAGGCCGGCCCTGGGGGACCTCGATCACCTCTCCGGGCCTGGCTCTTTATCCGGTGCTGGGGCCGGGAAGCGGCCTCCACGGCCGCAGAGGCTGCGGTCTGCCAGACGCCCCGACTCTTCATCTGTTTCCGGCTGTGCGCAAGAGTGACCCTCGGCAAGGGTGATCTTGTTAGCGCGCGGCTTCCGGGGGGGGTGCGGAGGGGCCAGGCCAGAGCGCGCAAACTGCTGCTGTCGCATCGCTCTCGGCGATCAGAGAACCCCAATGGGCCCCGCACCAAAGGGCACTCTGGCGAAGGGTCACTCTTGCGTGTATATGACTACATACCAGACCACCCCAACCTAACCCGAAAACCCGAGATTCGGGTTGGGTGGGGGGTACGGGTTCCCCGTGTGTTTTTCTACGTTCCCCGAACCCCCTTCGCTGGAAATCGAGGGTCAATTTGGGCCTTGCGGTGGGGTTGCAGTGGTTTGGTGGGCGGTGAGTATTGGAGAAGAAGAATCGTGTAAACCTAAAAACCTCTGGCGCCCCGCGCGGATTTCTCGGATCTGCGCTGGACCCCCCTCCCTGGCGCGCGGAGCGCGCCAGGAGGAGGAGAAGGAGGATCGAGGAGGATCGAGGATCGAGGAAGGGGCGGGCCAGAGAGGAGGGGCCGGGGCACGGGAGGGACCGCGCCGCCCAGCAGCAGCAGCGAGGCGAGCATCAGGCAGCCAGAGATCCACGCGCCGAAGGCGCCGCCGAGCCGCAGGAGCCTCGCGCGCCAGGGGGGGGGGGAGGAGGAGGAGGAGGAGGAGGAGGAGGAGGAGGAGGAGGAGGAGGAGGAGGAGGAGGAGGAGGAGGTGGAGGAGAGGAGGAGGAGGAGGGAGGAGGGGAGGAGGCGGAGGAGGAGGCGGAAGAGGAGGAGGGAGAGGAGGGAGACCCCGTTGGCCCGACAGGGGGGTCCACCGAGAAGGGGGTGGTGCAATGGATCTGGTGCCATAGATCTTTGGGGCTGCAGCAGGTTCGGGGCGAGCAGTACGTGCCAGTGCGCGGATGTATTGCTTGATCTTCGCGTGCAGCACATCGGCTGCAATATAATGCCAGACAGTTCTCCGTCGAAATGCATTTGCAATGCAGTAGCTCCGAATCTTAGGTCGGACGTGTCCCCCTACAGGCGGATTTTGAAGGAAGTGCAGGAAATCATCAAAATGTGCAAACATGTTTAAACATAGCTAAAAAATCGTTCCCAGAGAATTTGTTGACTACTTTTGAAGATTCCTCCTGTGGAGGGACAGGCCCGACGTAACCCTAATCTATACCCCATGTTTGGTCACAGGGGGAAGAGCTGCGAAACGGCACTTGCCCATGTCCGCCGCCCGGGAACCGCCGACGTCCTGGAGCCCGAGCAGGCGGTGGATATGGATACATGTTGCCCCACCCAGCCCGAATCTATACACATATAGATATGGGTATATACATACATACGTCCATACACCCATACATACACACATATGTACATACATCCATACATACATACATACATACATGCATGTCTGTATACCTACATTCATGCATGTATGCATACGGCCATACAAACAACACATGCATACATACATGTATACACACATACATACCTACATACACACATGCACACATACACACATACATCAATACATCCATCCATCCACACATCCATCCACCCACTGATACATACATACATACATATATACACACACATACATACATACATACATACATACATACAGACAGACAGACAGACAGACAGACAGACAGACAGACAGACCTACATACATGGTCCAGGGTTTGGGCCCCCCCCCCAATGCTGATGCCATTGGGCCCCCCCCCCGCGCGATGGTCCCCCCCGCCCCCCCCTGTGGGCGTGGCGTGGTGCTGCGCTGCGGTTCCCCCCCCCCCTGTGGATGTGGTGTGGTGCTGTGGTGATTCAGAGGTGGGCGTGGCGTGGTGTTGCACTGCGGTGCCCCCCTCCCCCCCCCTGTGGATGTGGTGTGGTGCTGTGGTGGTTCAGAGGTCGTCGTCGTCGTCGTCGTCGTCGTCGTCGTCCTCGTCGTCCTCTTCGTCCTCGTCGTCCTCGTCGTCCTCGTCGTCGTCGTCGTCGTCATCGACGTCGTCGTCATCGTCGTCGTCGTCGTCATCGTCGTCGTCGCCGTTGTCATCGTCGTCATCGTCGTCGTCGCCGCCGCCGCCGGCGTCGTCGCCGCCGCAGCCGTCGTTGTCGTCGTCGTGGTCGTCGTCGTCGTCGTCGTCGTCGTCGCCGTCGTCGCCGTCGTCGCCGTCGTCGCCGTCGTCGTCGTCGTCGTCGTCGTCGTCGTCGTCGTCGTCGTCTCTGGGACCATACCATCTGGGGGGGGGGCCCGAGGAATCCTGGGACCATACCATCTGGGGGGGGGGGGCCGTGGGCCCTCGACCCTGGATCATACATACATACATACATACATACATACGTACATACATACATACATACCTACA